TGGGGCCTCACCCGTGTCCCTGGCACCACTGCCAGGCTGCATCCACAGTGCCAATCCTCCAATTCAGGGTGACTGTTGTAGGTTTTAACCTGAAAATTCCAATTTTGAGCTGTAAATTCCACGTTTTTCCCGCACAAAACCCCTCCCTGATACTGACAGGAGGCTCTAGGGGCCAAACCTGCTGCAAAAACCCACCTTGCACCATCCTCTGGGCACGTGATGACCTCCAAAACTCATTTTCCCAATGAAATAAAACAGGGGGGAAAAAAGCTCAAACCAAGAGCTTATGTTGCCCACGATGTTTCTGGAAGGGATTTTTGCAGGAGTTTCCTTAACAGACTCCTCTGCATTTTTGCTTTTATTAATGTGGCAGCATTCCCGAGGCTGCTGCGATGCTTTTGCAAGAGCTAAAACATCTCCTGAGTTAAAAATCCAACAAAACCAGCCCCTCAGGCACCTCCACAGTGGGAAATGCTAAGGAGAGAGGAGGGAAATGCTGGATTGGGTGTCTTCAGATGGAATTGCTCCAGCTTTAGGTTTTTTTTTTCCTCTAAATAAATGTGTCTGTCCCGGAGACACTGAGCTGATGGGGGCAGTTCAGAAAATAAAAATGCTTCTGGACTCCTATTGGATTTCTAGTCCCCAAAAAGCTGATGTTATTGGGAAATTCTCTCATTTGCCCTTAGTAATCAGATGGGAAATGCTTCCACCATTCTTCTCTGCCTGAGGTGGTGCGTCACCATCCTGGAGTTTCACTGGTACCCCACATTCCATCCTGAATCCAGCATCTACATCCTTCCAGTCCTTCTGCCCTAGAGCTGCACCCCACAACTGCAGGCTTTTGCACCCCACACCCATTCCCTGGATCAGCCTCCTGTGGCTGCCTCCTACATCCCAAATCCTTCACCTGCACCCTCAGCCCTGCACCCCATGTCCTGTGTCTGCACTCTTCATCCCTCACCCTGCACCCTGCACCCCACTCCTCACACCCTGCAGCTGCATCCTGCATCCCAAATCCTGTATCTGTACCCTGCATCCCACATCCTGCTCCATGCATCCATTGCATCCTGCACTCTGCAGCTCGATTCTTGCATGCCAAATCTACATCCCAGATCCTGCATCTGCACCACGCCCTCCATGTGCAGCCTTCATCCCACATCCTCCATCTGCCCCTTCCTCCAGCCCCCCTCCTACACCTGCACCTTGCACCATCCCTTGTCCTGCGCCTACACCCCAAACTCTGTTTGTATTTCACATCTTCCCACCCCCTGCATCCCATGTCTCCATCCCATCTCCTGGATCCCACATCTCCATCCCAACATCTCCATCCCACCTCCTGCATCCCACACCTCCATCCCACATCTACATCCCATCTCCCACATCCCACCACCTGGATCCCGAGGGCACCAACCCCTGCAGGTCCAGGAACTCCCACCCCACGCAGGGCTCTGGGTAAGTTCAGCCCAGGGTCCTTACTGGGGCGTACTGGGCCATACTGGGCCGTGTCTCCTGTAGCTGTACCCTGGCTGTGACTCACTGCCACCTCCCCCAGCCACAGGACAAAATCTTAACTGCAATGGAAACCGTTTGTGAGGCTGGATCGCTCCCATCCACTCCTTCCTTCCCACTGCTCCCTGCTCCCATCCAGGCCTTTCTCCAGAGCAGGTGTGGAGCTGCATTCCCAACCTGCCTGCACACAGGGGAGCGGGGAGCTTTCCCATCCACAGGGGCTCTGTTCCCCTCTCTGGCACATCTGGCAGGCAGATGTGGCCAAAGGGCCGGGATCTGCCTCCCAGATGGGGGACGAGCTGCAAAATGTCTGTATGGGCTTGGAAAGCGATAATTTTTTCCTTGGAAGTCTGCATTTCCCGGCTCGTTGCACGCACTCCCCAGCTCCAGGGGTGCTGCACAATCCCTGTGCAGAGCTGGGGCTGAGCTGGGTGCTCTGGTGCTGGAGCATCCCATGTCCTGCACTCCATCCTATATCTCACCCTACATCCCACTCCTGCACTCCATGTCCTGCATCCACATCCCATCTCCTGTGTCCTGTATCCCACCTCTGCATCCCAAATCTCTCTTCTGCGACCCACGCCCTGTACATCCTTCATCTGCATTTTATATTCCATGTCCCTCACCACCTGTCCTATATTCCACCTCTGCATCCCAAATTCTACTTCTGTACCCCACGTTCTGTATCTGCATCCCCTATTCTGCATCTGCCCTTTCATCCCATGTCCTGTGTCCTGCATCCCACATCTGCAGCCCCTCTCCTGTGTCCTGCATCCACGTCACACGTTCTGTGTCTGGAAAACGGCATCTGGGAACCCGTATCTACATCCTAAATTCTCTGTTTCCTAAATTCCTGTTTTTTTTCCTAAATCCTGCGGCTGCATCCTGAATCCTGCATCCCACATCCTAAATGCTTCCAGAGCCTCTCTTCTGTGCCCTACATCTGGCAGCCTGTATCTGTATCCCAAATTCTGTGTCTCCCATCTGCATCCTGAATCCTCCATCCTGTGTTCTGCATCTACATCCCAAATCCTCAATCCCTGATCCTGCATCTATGTCCTGAATCTTATGTCCTACACCTGCATCCTAAATCCTTCATCCTGTGTTTATATCCTAAATCCCATGTCCCCATTTACATTCCAAATATTCAATTCCAGACTTCTCCATTCTGTCCTGCATCAACATCTTATGTCCCCCACCTGCATCCTAAATCCTCTATCCTGCATTTACATCCCCAGTCCTATGTCCCACATCTGCATTCTAAGTTCTCCATCCTGTCTTCAGTACCTACATTATGAATTCTCCATCCATCCTAAATCCTATATCCCACATCTCCATTCAAATTCCTGCATCCTAAATCCTACATCTCAAATCCCATGTCCCATATTTGCATCCCAAGTTCTCTGTCCTGCATCCTGCACCTACATACTAATCCCATGTCCCCATCTAAATCCTAAATTGTCCATCCCCCATCCTGCATTTATGTCCTAAATCCTCTGTTCCATATCTGCATCCTAAATCCTCCATCCTGAGTCTATATCCCAAATCCTATGTCCCACAACCAACACCTAGATCCTAAATCCTCCATCCCACATCCTCCCTCTGTGTCCTGAATCCTGCATCTCATGTCTAAATCCTAGAAACTCTACCCTGTATCCTGAATCTACATCCTAAATCCTGCATCCCATGTCTAAATCCTGCATCCCATATCTGCATCACAAATTCTGTTTCACATCCTGCATCTACATCCTAAACCCTCCATCCTGTGCCTACATCCCAAATCCTATGTCCCACAACCAACACCTACATCCTAAATCCTCCAACCCCCATTCTCCATCTGTGTCCTAAATCCTGCATCCCATGTCTAAATCCTAAATACTCTACCCTGTATCCTGAATCTACATCCTAAATCCTGCATCCCATGTCTAAATCCTAAGTCCCATATCTTCATCACAAATTCCGTTTCACATCCTGCCTCTACATCCTAATGTCTACTGCCTCTACATCCTGTGCCTAAATCCTACATCCTATGTCCCACATTTGAATCCCAAATTCTGTCCCACAACCAACACCAAATCCTCCATCCTCCATCTGTGCCCCAAATCCTACATCCCCAAACCCTCCATCCTGCATCCAGCACCGCATCCCTAACTCTGCATCCCAAACTGGGCTCCCAGGATGCTGCCAGGAGGCCGAGGGCTGGCCCAAGCCCCCCGTGCTGGAGAGCCATGAATTGGGGATGAGGTGGGGGCAGAAGCCCCCGGCCGCCCGCCCCGGCCGTGCTGTTGGTTTTAGGATTTGCCACGCTCCGGTGCCTCCGAGCGCCGGGTCCCGGCGGGGCCGCACAAAGGACGCTTTCAGGGCTCAGCACAGCCCCCCCTGCCCGGCCACATAGGAACACAAACCTCTCATCCCCCTCGAGTTTCCCCCACAGACCCCGAAAGCGGAAAATAATCCTCTCCACCGAGTTAAACAACCAAAAGGACCCTAAAAATTTGGGTTGAAAATGATTCCCATGGGAATGGAGCTTGGTTAATGCACGAGATCGTGGAGGAGCAGAAGCAGTGTCCAGCCTTCCCTGAAGCATCCTGGGCCTGTAACCCCCCAAAATATCCCATTAATAGCAGGTAACAGGTGAAAAATTAATCTGTTTTGACAGCGAGACCAACTCGTGCAACAAGTTGTGTCCAGCCTCACACCCCTCCACAACACTCCCTTCGTGAGGCATTCCCAAAGATTTTCTTTTTTATTCCCTTAGAAATATAAATTCCTGGGGGGAATGAACCAGAAAACCCTGTATTCAGCCTAATTATCCCCCCTGGTCGCAATCTGTGATCTCTGGGACAATTAAAAGTGCTTAATCCCAGCTGAAAAGCAAACAAGGTCGGAGCGCGGCGTCTTCCTGCTTTCCCCTGCCCGCTGCCGGGGTCTCGCTCCCCAGCTGCAATATAAATATGCAATTAAAAAATCGCCGCTAATTGCTTCGCCCAAGGGGGGTTCCCACCAGGGAAACAAAAAGGCTGGGAAAAAGGATATTTAAAAAAAAAATAATTCAAGAAGGGGTAAATAAGTAAAAAGCGCATTTTTTTTAGCCCGGTCATTAAACACTGATGCAGCTTTAAAGAGAAATCGTGGTGGTATCTCAGGGTTTGCACCCTGGGGTGGGTTTTTTTGGGGGGATGCTCTTTTTTTGGGGGGGATGGGGTTAATCCCTGGCTCTCCTCTCTCTCGCTCCAGCGCTAACAACCCCTGGCAGCTCTTGGGCTCGTTAGTCCTTCCGAAGAGCAATTAGAGAGGTTGGAAAATGAGGGCAGCCACTGCCCTGAGACAGGGCAGGAATGGGGGGCGGGGGGGTCAGCTCCCAGCCCTTGGGGCTGGTTTAGGGCTGAGATCCCGCAGTGGGATTTACCCTGGCCGAGCAAAGCTGCCCCATCACAGCTTTCAGAGGAACAACCCAGTGCAACCTCCCCCTTGCAGCAACCAGCCTCGCCTTGTGTCCCCAGGGCTTTATTGAACCTTCAAAAGCTAAAACAGGTGGCCAGACACCTTCACAGTATTTGGGTGCTGCTGCCTGAACCCAGCCAGGAGGCAGAAGAGGAGGTGGAGGAAGAGAAGGAAGAGGCAGAGAAGGGGTGTGAGGGCTCAGGTGCCGGGCAGCCAGACCTTCTGGGTGCTGACAATGTCGCTGAGCTTGGCCTTGATCTTCAGGAAATGCCTCTTGAACTCCAGGCCATCGCCCTGTGTGGGGAGAGGCAGGGGTTTACATCCCCCTGCACCCACCTGCACCCCTCCATCCCCCGGCACCACCTCCCGAGGTCACCCCCACCCTGCACCCACTTTGTGTGGTCCTTCCCCACCCTGACCCCCCCACACACCTTGGAGAGGCGAAAATCCACCAGAATCTTGCTCTCCATCTCCACCAGGTTCACCTTGAAGATGAGTTTGTTGTTCCTCCTGTCTGTGGTCGAGATGGTGACCTGCAGAGAGGGGGAAGGCCTGGAATTATTCCCTGATGACCCAGCACAGGGGGTGCCAGCCCCAGCTCCATGCCCTGACCCCCACCTGGTTGGTGCAGCTCATCTTCCAGCCGTACCCCATCTTCTCACACACCTCCTTCAGCGCGCGGTAAGAGCCGTCGGCGTCCAGCTTGGTGAAGAACCGCGTCATCCGCTTCACCAGCCGCTGCCACGGGCTCTGCCGCCCCAAAAAAACCGTTCCACATGTCACAGATCCCGCCTAAAGGTCACAAATCCCACCAGGTTCCAGCCCCAGCACTGACACATCCCGGCTTTTGGTGAGGAAATGTTGGAAAGCTGCACCCCCTGATGGCACGAGCCAACAGCCGCATCCCAAACAGCAGAAATGCTGCACAGCCACATCCCAAACAGCACAAAATCGGCCCCTGGCATCATAAAAATGCTCTTTAAAGACATCTATAGGATGCAAAGTTGTGCCCCGATGGTATAAACAGTGCAAGGATGGACCCCAATATTGTAAATTGATGCAAAGTTGCCTCCCAAGTGCTGCAGAGCTGTACCCTGGAACTGGAAAGTTGCATTTTATTACTCAAAATACTGCAAAATCATGCCCCAAATACCACCAGGTTGCACCCCGAGATGACAAACCTTGCCCAGCAGCACCCCAGTGCTGCCAAGCTGCTCCCTGATATTGTAACTCAGATGCTAAGCAGCACTCTAAACACCACAGAGCAGCCCCCAACCACTGCACAAAGTGCACCCTGATGCTGTAAATGATGCACATTTGCCGCCCCAAATCTTGGGAGGTGGCACCCCGAGATGATGAAACTCACAGCTGCATCCCAGCCTTGTCAAATTGCTCCCCGATATTCCATATACAGCAAAGTTTCTCATTAATGTAGTGTTTATGATGCAAAGTTGCACCCCAGTATCTTACACAGCACAGTGCTGCAGCACAAAGCTGTAAATCAGATGTGAAACTGCCCCCCAAGTCCCTGGCAAAGTGACAAACTGACACTAAAAGTACTGCAGATTTGTACCCCAAATCCTGCACCTCACACCCTCAGGTGGCAAGTATTCAACAGCCACAGCCCCACAGCTGTTCCCTGATATTATAAATACAACAAAAGTTGCTTCTTAATCTTACATATCTAAGGCAAAGCTGCACCCCAGTAGTGTAAAAGGTGCAGCACTGGATCCTGATGTAAACTGGATGAGACTCTGCCCCCCAAATGCTGCAGAGTTGCACCCCAAGATGATAAAATTCCACACCCCACACATTGCCAAGCTGCTCCCTGATGTTATAAACATGGCATTATTGTCATATACGTGATGCAAAGTTGCACCCCAATCTATACAATGCAATGTTGGACCTCCGTGTTGTAGATCAGACCTGAAACACCCCAAGGCCATGGCAAAGCATCACCCTGATACTGAGAATACTGAAAAGCTGTGCCCCAAATCCTGCAAACTCACACCCGAGGTGATAAATGACAAAAAGTTACACCTCCAGCACTCCCCATCAGGCAAAGCTGCTCCCCAAGCACCAGAGCAGCCCCCAGGCACTGCAAGGTGCACCCCGACAGCGTCGCCGATGCCGAGCTGCGCCCCGAACGCCGCGAGGCGAAATCCCAGGAGGATCAGCCTCGCCCAGCACTGCGAGGCAGCACCCCGATATTCCAGGTGGTGCCAGGTGCCCCCTGACCTGGGAGGAGCCTGGGGTGCCCAGGAGTTGGCTGTTGACCAGCATGTGCTCGGGGCAGGCGGGCTGCGAGAAGCTGAAGCCCTGCACCAGCTGGTCGATGCTTCCCGTGCCACTCTCCCAGGGCATCCCGCCCGTGCCGGGCTCCGGCTGGGACGTGGAATAGCTTGCCTTGTCCTCACTGCAAGGCAAGGGGGGACACAAGGGTTAGGAGCGCTGGAGGGAGCCGGATGTGGGATCTGCACGGGATTTTGCAGGATCTGGGTGGATCACAGGGGTCGTGCGGGGTTTCCACCCCGCCGCCTCCTGGAGAAAACGCCGGGAAAGCCCCGAGGCGTGCAAGGAGCTGCAAACCCGCGTGGAGGGAAGCAGAGGCTCACCCCAGAGCTCCCTTCACGGGTGAGAAGTCTGTATCGGATCGGATGTGCTTGGAGAAGCCTCCAGGGGAGTCGGCGACTCCCCCCGAGGAGAGCCGGGCCCGCTTGGCATCTGCAAAGGGACAGGACACCAAATAACCCCCAAATCCGGGGCCACCAGCGCCTTCCCCCGCGGCCCCTTACCCTTCTTGAGGGGTCTGCTGTACCACCGGTCCTTCTGGATGTCAGGAATGGAGATCCTCGCCGTCGGGCTCTCCGTGAGGATCTTGTGCAGCAGTGCTGGGGGAGATGGGGGGGTGGAACACAATATGGTGTGTGTGTGGAAATGTGGATATTTGTGTGCATATATAGGTACATATTTGTGTGTGTATATCTATGTACATATTTAGGGAGCTGCTGGGTGCCGGGTGCTTACCCAAGGGAGCGGAATCAATCTTCTTCCAAGGTGGGAGGTAGGTTTTCTTCTCCTTCCAGTCACTGTATTCCTGGCAGCTGTCGCTGGGCTGGTCCCAAGGCAGCTCTGCCGGGAGATCCCACTGCTGTCACCCCTCGGTGCCACAACGCCCTGGGCACACATGTGGCACCGAGGGGATGTGGTGTGCCAGGTGAGCCTGCCCTGCCACGGATCCTGTGTGCTCCCCACGCATCCCGAACCTCCCAGTGCATCCCATGGTTTCTCACACACATCCTGTTCCTCTCTATGCATCCCAAGCTCCTCCTATGGATCCCATACCTCCCCTCTGCCTCTCGTACACCTCCCCTACGCACCACATACATTCACCTTCTATTCCTTCCATATATTTTTATGGATATTCCAGACCTCCCCCTCCACGCATTTCACATCTCCCTTATGGATCCCACACGCTCCATCTCTGTTTCACACATCCCTGCCCTTGTGCACTCCATACATCCCTCCCAGCTCACACGTGCTCCTTCCCCATCCCGTACATCCCCAGCTGCACTCCCCCCGTGCACCCCTTCTGCATTCCACGCACACCCCTGCACATTCCACAAACACTCCCCCATGTCCTCTGCACCACTCCTGCATTTCCCCCCCACCCCCTGAACGTGTCACATGCATTCCATCCATTCCTAGAGGCATTCCAGTGTTCCCACCTCTGCCGGCCATTTATCACCTCCTGTGAATTCCATCCATCCCAACATTCCCACCTCTGCCAGTATGGCCATCAGCACATCACCCTCTGGGAATTCCATCCATCCCAACATTCCCAACTCTGGCCAGCATGGCCATCAACACCAGGTCTCCCTCTGTGAATTCTGTACATCCCAACATTCCCACCTCTGCCAGCATGGCCATCAGCACATCACCCTCTGGGAATTCTGAACATCCCAATATTCCCAACTCAGGCCAGCGTGGCCATCAGCATCAGGTCTCCCTCTATGAATTCCATCCATCCCAACATTCCCAAATCCAGCCAGCAGCATGGCCATCAGCACCAGGCCTCCCTCTGGGAATTCCATCCATCCCAACATTCCCAAATCCAGCCAGCAGCATGGCCACGAGCACATCACCCTCTGGGAATTCTGTACATCCCAACACTCCTACCTCCAGCCAGCATGGCCACCAGCACATCACCCTCTGGGAATTCTGTACATCCCAATATTTCCAACTCAGGCCAGCATGGCCATCAGCACCAGGTCACCCTCTGGGAATTCCATCCATCCCAACATTCCCACCTCAGCCAGCATGGCCATGAACACATCACCCTCTGGGAATTCCATCCATCCCAACATTCCCACCTCCGGCCAGCATGGCCATGAACACATCACCCTCTGGGAATTCTGTACATCCCAACGTTCCCACCTCCGGCCAGCATGGCCACGAGCACATCACCCTCTGGGAATTCCATCCCGGCATTCCCACCTCCGGCCAGCATGGCCACGAGCACATCACCCTCTGGGAATTCCATCCATCCCAA